GAACCTAAATCCATTAAAAACTACGTTCCGGTGACTTGTTGGTTGAAACTACACCTGCTTCGCAAACAAAATCTTTTTTATTGGCAAAAACATTTTTAGATTGCCCTTTGACAATGAGTCCTCACAAATCTCTTAACTCAAGCTGAGGTGTCATCTCTGAACCTGATCTAATGTGCACTTCTGAGACTGAAATCCTAGAGGGATTTTTTCAAATCTGGGTGTAATTCAGGTCAGAAGAATCACTGTAAAAAAAGATGCTGAAATTATTCCTACCAAAATTTTTATCTTAACCTTCAATAGCCCGAAACTTCCGACTACAATAAAAGCTGGTTATTTAAACTGCAAGATCCGTCCCTATATACCAAATCCTTTGGGCTGTTTTAAGTTCCAGAGGTTCGGACACTCCCAAAGTTCCTGCCGCTGTCGATAAACGTGTTCTACATGTGCATCCGTTGGCCATTCTTCCACGAATTGCAGTCTAGAGCCAAAATGTATTAATTGCTCACAATCCCATTCATAAGACCTCAAATTATGTCCCAAGTGGAAAACAGAAAAATAAATTCAAACTATTAAAACAAATAGAAATATATCGTATGTAGAAGCACGGAAAGTCCACAGTTATCCCAAACATACGCACAAGCTGCCAAACCCTTAACTGTAACCACAACAACCCAAACTGATGAAAATATTACAAAACTAGTATGTCCACCCTTAAAACTACTACAACCAATGGTATCCATTCCAAAGCAAACAATGTCTTCCAAAATTCCTGTAGTTACCAAATTACCAACCACAACTCAAGCAAACCTCTTACCATCCCCATCCTCTGTCACAGTTACATCATCATTAGGATCTCAACCCCCTATTCCTTTAATAGATACTGTTCCCGCTACATATAATAGTTTATCTACCTCTGTTGCATCTTCTTCATCTAATAAACCCCTTTCTTCATCCAAAGTATCAATGTTTACACCTACCACCTGAAACATGTCCTGTTGTTGAAACTATATCCAATACTATACCTTCTGCACCCCAGGCTGCAAAACAAACTTTAAAAAATCGTAGGAAAAAACGTCCTAACAGAAGTATTGCCCCCAAAATAGAAATACAATTGTCTCCTCACAAACCCAAGAAAATCAAACCCAATTACATTCATAAATTAACAAATGTTTGGCACAGCTTAGCCAGATTTGGCTCTTGCGCCATAAACTCAAAACTCACTCACTCACTCACTCATGGCCTCCCTAAGAAACCAACTGCCAGTGAATGACCGATATATTTTTCTGCTGGTGAAAAGAAGCCAATACGAGTAAGCCATTCCCATTTGCTCAGCAATGGTGTACAGCAACAGGGCGACAAGTGTAGCGGGTTACTGTGGTCAGACGCCTTCACAAAGGTGGCTTATTCACCCACCGTCCTGAACGATGCATCCCTTTGAAAGTTGGCCATCGGCAGCACCGCTTAGAGCGGTGTAAGGAGCACAAAAACTGGACATCTCATCCATGGAGTCGTGTCCTCTTTACAGATGAGAGTCGTTTCAATGCCACAAGCGATTCTCAACGCCACTTGATTTGGAAAAGATCGGGACATGGTTACGGTGGAGTTTTTGTCTGAGGAGGCATTATGCTGAACGGTCGGACTGAGCTCCACATTTTCGACAGAGGTTCTGTAAGCGGAGATCGTTATAGTAAGGAGGTGATCCATCCTCATGTGTGTCTATTCCGAGGTGCTATTGGACCAGGCTTCGTTTTTATACAGGACAATGCACGGTATACCGGACTGCTGATCTTTAGTAGCCACAGGAAAGTAAAGGTATCACTCGAATGGATTCTCTAGTGTTCTTTTCTGAGTTAAATTCCGTAGTACATGTGCCAGATACTTTGAGGAGACGCCTTACAAAACGATTATATCCTCCGAAAAACACCCAACTGAAACAGAGGTTGATTGAGGAATGGGTACTTTTACCTCAAGAACTGTTGAACAATAAGGAGCTGAGTTTGGAAAGACGGGCAAAGAGCAATCATTTCCGTAAGAAGGGAGAGGGTATATCCCATATTAAGGCACATGTGCTATATTTTCTTCCTCTTGGACATGTGTACCGATACTATGAATTGAATAAATCCTTTCTTGCTTGATCCATTCTATATTATCACGAATTTTGTGTAATGAATGCTTAAAATAGTGTAAATGATTTATATATGGATGTATAATACATTAATATTACTTTCTGTTGTATTTATTTTATGTTAAAATTTTAATATTCGCAAGCAACGTCATACCTTACATTATAATGGCGATTCAATGGAAACTTGGCGAAATGTTGGCGATCGAGGCACCCTTTTTGACGACCATGTTGGAGCCAATTTTGGAGAGTCGGTGATTATGTTGTTAACTATTATTGGTGAGTTCGCTGCCATACGGATACTTCTGGCAATTATTGGAGAAATCTAATAATATCCCGATCTATGACGTATGCGGATTTTTCGAGAATAATCTATGCAAACTATAAATAGAAGCCTCTCATTGAAGAAGGGTCAGTATTATTTTGACCGATGAAGAGTTTACTAGTGATTAGTTATTTCTTCGGCTGTTCAAAAAGACGAGCGAGTGCTTGCGAATAATCTTTAACGTACTTGTATTTTAGACACTGAGTGTTGTGTCTGAGTGCTGAAAGTGTGAAGACCTCCCGGGGTTTATTAAGCGAATTCTACTGCTGTTATTTCAGGAATTGTTTCTCTACAAAAAATTTTCAGCGTTTCTGAAGAACTGTTTTGCTCTTTGGAAATGATAGTATAAAATCCTCGAGCCCTGATCTACGTTACAATATGTATTGTATTCATTTTTGTGCAACTATGCTTTCGTCATCGTTTACGTACAAAATGCTGTCTCTCATTTTTGAATTTCATGTCCCTCAGATGGTTATTCGTGAAATTATAGCAAAACACACACCTGTTGCTTAAGTTTTGCACACCAGTGTAATAATAAATTTTTTAAGAATAATTAATAAATAAACTTAGTTCCCCAGTTTTCCCCTAAGCCTTTATTTCAATATTTCAAGAATTCGTTTGAGCTTGCCTATTTGCAGCGATGATCGTCAAACTAGTGTCAGACAAAAATACATGTGACGAATACATTCTATTTCGAACAAGTATGGATTTATCATGTGGTTTCAGAAATTTGTAAGGTAATCGCCTTCCTTTAATAATGTTTGGGGTCTAATAAATCAAGAAAGCTTATTAATACTCATGTGTAATAAGTAAAATAAAGAAATAACATTTAACAGAAATATGACTGTAAATCACAGCTTCACAACGTGTGTCAAATCTAGAACTAGTAAAAATTAAGCATCGAATTCATCTCAATTAAAAGCTTCTATTGTATTATAAGAGTTCTTTTTTAAAAATTCTTAGTTAAAGAAAAGTTTTATGTTCATACTTTATGGAAAGACTGTTCGTCCTGGTTTTCAAGGTTTTCTATAATAAGTATTGAAATTTTAATGATTCCTTTATTGTAAAGCCTTTTATAACAATACCCTAGAGTATATATTAAGACTTTTATTCTCAATAAACCAAATATCTCAAAGCTATTATCGATTTTAAAAGAAATATGTTTCTTAATTTGCTTTCTATGGCAGCAATGTTCTGTCTTTTGCATGATTTACCATTTTAAAAGTAATTGATAGGCAACATTTCTGAATTCGTATTCCTTAAAGGAATTATGATAATATAGAATATTTTGAATGAAAAAAAATAATTCCGTACCATAGTTTTACTTCTAGTTTGATAAAAGATAAAATTCAATGGCCAAAAAAAAAAAGTGCATTACTATTGCCTGGGAGACTATTCAGAAAATAATGACTTTACTTTTGATCCAATTATTGGTAAATAAAGAAAGCAAGGCAACGCATAGGTTCTCAAAAATTCCAGCAAGGTTGTTTTGTTTCTATACGTTTGATATTTTGTGGGTTACAATTGATTTTTTTTTTTAGATATGAAGTTTTATTACAATTATATTAGCGTATCCACGAGAAAATTGTGTTTAGTAGTTCTGTTTTTTCTAGAATTATTTCTTGTGTGTTGTTCATGGGAGTTCTTGTGTGATGTTTATTAAAAATTAATATATATGATAATCTAAATCTATAAAAATAAAGTTTCTTATGCGTTCTGAACAGTGATTTTAAAAAGCGTGTAAATGAATAATTATTTTGATAATTAGTGTAACTTGAATTAGAGCATACATATAAAATTGTTTTAAGAATATTACTTCAATAATAAATTATTTAAATCCAACTTTTTTTTGCAAAAAAATGAAGGAAGAATGACATACTTTCAAAACATTATCTTTTTATGAAAATTCTTCTATAATAATAATATTTTGCTTATAATAGATAAAACTTCTGCATCAAGCCTGAACGAGAATTTTTAAAATATATATAATTTTATAAATTTATTCATAATTTAATACTAATACATCAGAATGGAGAAATTTTTGCAAAACATACCGGCTTTTATTTTAGTTGATCGTAACTTTGAAAATAATGGGAATTTTCCAAAAATCCTCCAATTCAAATACCGTATAGAAGTATAAGTTATATATACGCAAAATGTTATTATAATAGAAACATTTTTCATAAAAAGAGAATGTTTTGAAAGTATGTTCTTTTCCCTTCATTTTTTGACAAAAAGAAATTGCATTTATATAATTCCTTATTGTAATTATATACTTAAAACAAATTTATATGTATATTCTAATTCAAGTAAACGTAGTCAATCACCTTAAGGTGACTGACTTATAACGCAATATAATTTAAAAATATCGAACTACCTTCAGCAAATGTAAAGTTGCGATCGTTAGCCGTAGCTTTGAGCTCCATACAGGTGACAGTACGTTTTTGGCTCATTTCCAACCAAAATTTGAGGGAAAACACCCTGGAGGTGGTCAGGGACGGCTATTTAGAGTACCTCCATGCCACAAAGGCACTACACATTTATAAACATCCATGCCTTTTCCGGGATTTGAACCCAGACCCTACAACATAGCAGGCAGCTTCACTAATCACTATAATGGAAGGGTGACTATGTAAAGTTGTTCTAGAATTTATTCTAGAAGGGAAAAAAAGAAAAGAAAAAGATATTTAATTGCTGCAATTTTTAAATTGGTTGTAATATATTTAAATTAGTTCGAATCCCACCTGGGATAGCCTAATTTCTGAGAATGTGATTTCTTTTTTACTATACTATTTTATTATAATAATTAAATTTAATTAATAAATAGACAGTAACAAACAAAAAAAATAGTAGTCGAACATCCTATATAGTAAGGAAAAAGGAAAACTGTGAGGAAAATCGCTTTCTATTTTGTCACTTAATATTGTGGTTCAGTCATATGTATATACATATTTATGAAAATTGTAATAATTTAATAAAAAGTAACTAAAATAAGATTTTTCTTTGTTGACCTAAGTAAGAATTGAGTTAATTTTTTTTTATATTACTTGTTTTCCTTAAAAGTATATCATACATAAAACTATAAGAGGAAGTTTTTTTCAGTTCTTGACATTTTTGCATGAAATAACTTCAGGCTTATTTAAAGTAGAATCGATAGAACATAAAAACTACCTCCTAAATGTAGCAGTAAAAACGTCAGAAAACCTCAATTCCCTTTTATCTGATTATTTTAATCACCCTGTTTTAATTACTATTTCAAACACAATGCGTCAATTTATGAATACCACTTAATAATTGAAATGTAAATTTTGTACAAACTGAAGAAATTACACAGAAAGTGAATCAACGAAATGTCACTATAACTAAAGGAAAAATTTCTTCCAGTATTCAATCTTACTCTTCGGACTAAAGCAGTGCTTCTCAAGGTTTCCATATTTG